CTGAAAAAGTTTAGATTCTTGACAGTCTTGAGCTCGGAAGTTGCAAGTGTGGCATGTTTATGCCATGTTGGACATGTTTTATTCCATTATGCACCAGTGGGCAAGACCAAGAATCCTTCATAGTGGCTGTTAGAAGATTAGCCTTAATGAAATCATAATGTATAGTTAACTCTAGAATGACAATAAATCAAACCAATGCAAATGAATTGTGACACTCACATTGTTTGCTCAAATATTGGATGGCATTCACAAGCCTAGGATTCTCCAAACAACCCCACAAACAAATTATGATAAATTATGTATACAAGATGCACGTTCCGAACCGGTATTCTGAGCTCCCGTCTCATTGTCAATAGGTTTTCCAATGGCCGCGTTCTTTTTTTTTCGGTGCTCGGAGGATTTTCTTCACCCATTTCTGGGAGCTTTGTTTCGCTCGGAGACCCGAAAGGCATTACATCCCACATTGCTTCGTTGTTCCGAGCATCTGCGTCGCTTTCTTGCGTCAACGGGAGCTTCGGATCCACTCCGAACGGACAGCGCAAGAAACGCAACGGATCAAGGTAGACACCTCGTGAGCGCACCAAAGCATTGTACCAACCGGAAAAAGACCTGGACTTTGATTTGGAAGCCAATAACCATGGGGATTAAACATGATTAAACTAGATTAAACATGATTAAACTACAATCATAGGGATATCAAAAAAAAACATGAATTATTAACTGGTGAGTAATCATAGATATCATAGTCATAATCCAGGGGATAACTCCACTTAAGGGTGATCAATGCAGGCAGGTTGATCCTCCAAATGCGGGCAGTCTCGCTGTGGGGGCCCAAGAGAATGACAATTCCATCATAAATGTTCCTGCTCCGAGGCAGAAATATGTTCCGTGTATCTCGGTCCATATTATTCATTGTATGTGTATTCATACCCTTGGGCTAGGTTCAGTAAAAGTCAATGTTGCGATTATTTGTAGATGCACCACGTGAATGTGCAGCATTTTGGTCATGGTGAATGAATGATCTATTGGCTTCTATTGATGACATTGATTGGATGTTCCTTTTTGAATTTGCGTCTTTATCCACCCAAATGCTATTACAATTACAATCTCTTGAACCATATCTCAATTTAGAGAAACCCACATAAAACACATGTATGAAAAGAGGTTTGGTCCACCTCTGGGTTGCGTCTTGCGACTAAATGCTCTAGGTGTAGTGGGGAAATTCTGCTGGGTACCCTTAGGTAAATATACCTTTCCACATCTCCCAATCCAGTCTACAAAACTCTTGGGAAATGATTGAAACCCACCCAACCAATTGCCGTGATGCTTCTGATTTCAGACCTTGTGTTACCTTCATCATATATCATAATGTTCAGCAACAGTGCCATCCATTCCGATCCATTCTGCTCAATCTTTTGCAACTCTAAACCTCACAATGCTCTCCCCAAGAATTGGCCAAAACAGTGACTTGGATCGCTTTTCCGATGAACAAAATCCCTGGGATCCGAGGGATCACACATATTAGTGCTTCGCGGTACGGATTTTTTGGACCTCCAACTGATGATTTTGGTATATTTTGATCAAGCCAACCTCTCTCCACCGTACTATTTTTGACAAGATACGCATCCATTTCAGCCACATCAACGTCCTGGAGCTATGGCACAAACTTCGGAGACTTTCACCGAAAATGGGGGATTTCACCAACTGCTCATGGCAATCCGAGGGAAAATCAATGGAAAAACATCATATCCGGTGGCCAAAGGGCTGCGTGCTTTTTGCTCGCGTAATCAGTGTTTTCTGCAACTGTTTCTTGGGAAGGTGTTTTTTGCGTGGGTTGGCGCTGGTGTTTTTTGCTTTGGTTGGAGGGTATTTTTGGCAACTGTGGACGGTGTTTTTTGCGACGGCGACGTTGTTTTCTGCGACGGGAACCAGTGTTTTCTGCGCTGGCTGCGGGGGGGAGGCTTGTAGCATCTTGTAGCGGCGGTGCTGGTGCTGCTGCGGTTCTGGCTGGTATTTTTGCAACGGTTGACTGGTGCTTTTTGCAACGGTTGGCTGGTAGCAGTGGTGGTATAGGTAGTAGGTCGTATGTTGTAGGGGTATACCTATATACTTAGTAATTAGTAGGTAGTATGATAATTCGGAGGTTACCTATCTATAGGCCCAAACAATCCTGGTTTTGTGAGTGGGATACCTAGGATTCCACTTATAACTTGTAACTGGGATGAACTAACCCACTTCACTAGGATGAAGCATCCAAGTACAATATGGTTTTGAAACAACATACCACCAAAGTTCTAACATGTATGTACCCAAACAAGGGTGTGGGCAAAGGAATGGCTACGCCATACCAATATATACGCAGGATAGATCTACTGTCTTTTTGTCCACGCATTTGCATGAGTAGTCTAATAACTCTCGATGCATGTTTTTTTTCCACATGCGCATGGGAACTGAACCATTGACATATACATGTGCATTTGTATGTATATATATATATATATCTTTCTCCATCGAATTCTATGCATTTGTATATGGATGTACTCAATATTATTCGAACATGTACTCGTAGCGCATAGAAACACACATGCATACACCATGTTGCACATATGCAAATACGAATGCAAACACATGTCTAGCAAATGTCCATTCACACATTTATCAATAAAGATTATACTGATATACTTATGCATGTTCCTACAAGCATGAACATGTGTATGGTTTTCAGTCGTAATGACGGCCTTTCTTATGTATTGAAGGGCATAGAGAGCAAACAATCATCAATGGCACCAAAGCTTGCTCTGCCAGAATGATAACCCATCCAAACATGCAAGTCCACCAGCTTCAGAACTCGTTCCTGGGAAAAACACATGCAACATACCACCCAAAAAAAAACTGTCCCCAAACAATAGCAAAGATGGTTTGTAACTTGCTTGACTAGGGTGTATGGACTCTATAATAACATATAGATACATTCTGGGTAAATTATAATAATTCACCAACCTGAATTAAGGCCATTTGGGGATGATGTCCCTTATTAACCCTGATTCCAGGGCTCGGTCGCAGTGAGGTCGTTGTAATTTACCCAGATACATATAGTAAGTATACGCTTCCACGAGACTAATCAAGACCATCCCCCTCCAAAGCCGATCACCTAAAAGATGCAATAGATGTAGCTGGCAGCCACAACCTGCTGGATGTAAAAGGGGGCAAAGGGGGCAGGGCTACAACCGAGAATATTAATATAGCTATATAGTAACATATAGGATTATATATATATGTATTATGTATTCTATATATATATATATATATTGTATCATTATTATATGTACTGTCCTTGATCATATTGAGCATAGATATGACTACAATCACAGCTGCATATTTCATTGCACATGTTTTTATCATTACACATAGTATATTATTGTGTATATATATATGTATATACACTTGCACGTAAATAACTAAAGAAAACAAATTGGGGTATGACTGGCAAGGACGGCCATCTAACGACCTACAGAGGCACTATGTCACTATGGCTGGGGAACTACCCAACTACTCTGACCAAAGAAATGGCAGGGCATGGAAGGGTCCAGGGCCCCATGAACTTTACCAATTAACTATTATAGTTTGCCAACGAAAAATTGCATCTGACTATAATATGGAGGTTTCCTGAAATGGGGGTACCCCCAAATCATCTATTTAAATAGGATTTTCCACTATAAATCATTCATTTTGGGGTACCTCCATTTATGGAAACCCTCATATGAATGTATATCACAGAGATCCGTACAAAAAAATGAGACATGACGAGCAACCCAAATGCACAACACATCTGGATGTGTATTTTCCAACCCCTCCACATTCCATCAAATTAGACCTACAGCTAAAAGGAACATCGACAAGTTTTGCACTGACCGGCGTCATCCGCAACATGCGCACCTTTCAGGTTTGATCAAGCGCGGATTTCGCGAATTTCAGTCCTGCGGCAGTGGCAGATTCGTACAAAGGTAAGGAACAAACAATCAGTGCATCAAAGGATGGGAAGCCAAACCATGATAGAACGTAGACATGGCCAATGCATAGCCATGAAACTATCTGGAGCCCTGGTTCCTTCGATTAACGTAGAAACCAAAAAACATTGGACGGGGATGATGGACATCTCGGATGGAATGTGAAGTCATGTCAATAGTTTCTGACAGCTTGCTAAAGGAAACAAGAGTCAAAAGCAGAGCAAGCCCCCGGTCAAAAAAATGCGAAACCCGACCAAGACATCTTTGACTTTATGAATTTGATGATTTTCACTTGCTTGGGATTCCAGACGTTTCCAATGGGGGAAGCTGCAAACTACTCATCTGCTCCTGATTCCTGAAGGATGTTCCTCTTGGATATTGTAATCCCATCCCCCTAATGTTAAACACCTCATAACTTAAATGGTCGCCAGAAAAAAATGTAAATCTCCTACTATACACTCGTTTCTAGAAGGTGTTGAAAATTAGGGTTCAGGAATGAGCTATGTATATATATATATATCTATTTAAATGCAAATGTATATATATATATATACAAATACACAAATAAACACGTATATTTATATACATGCAAATAAATAAATATATGTATATATATATATATATACATATGTGTATATATATATATATACATATATATATATACATATATATATACATGGTTATATATATATATGCATATATATACACGTACATATACATATATATATATATACACATATATGTATGTCATATGTATATTATATATATATATATATCTGTATATACATATGTGTATATATATATATATATTATATACAAATGTACACATGCATCTATATATATATATATGTACGTATATATAGAGACATATACAGTATGTGTGTGTATATATATATATGTACGTATATATATATACATATCAAACGATAGCTTCGGCTCCGTAGGTGCTATCCCAGGCCCTCCTTGAAATTTTTGTTTGGACTCCAGACCGGGCTACGCTTCCTCAGCGTCGGAGGCAGTTCAAACGGGCAATCTATCAATCCCTGGTCAACGTTGGGGCGGGGGGGGGGGGTACGGGGGTGAGTTAGGGGGGGCTAGGGGTTAGGGTTAGGGGGGCTTTTCAATGTTTGCTTGTATTTGGCATTTGGGGCTCTGGGTTTCAGACCTTCGCATGAAAAAACGCAGGTTTTCGGTACTCCGAGTTCCTTCGTTCGGTAAAATCTGGGCTACACAGTCGCCCTCGGCCCCTAGTAGTATGATCGATCTGTAGCCTGTTGAGAATTCTGGGTTTCTGAGAGGTTCAGGTAGTAGATGGTAGTGTTACAGGCAGTTTTGGTTTTCTTCACAGCAAGCTTAGGCTTTTGATGGCTTTTGCCTCAGTGTTTGGCATCTCCTTCTTTTGAAGCAGCACCACAAATCATATGTTCTTTCAATTCAGGGTGCTTGATAGTGGTTGATCCTTTTTTTGGTGGCTAAGGTTGCTCGCTTTTACTATCTTTTACTCACCCTTTTCTTGGGTGTCGAGCCACCTGTGTGCTGAGAAACAGCTGGGCTTGTGGAGGTGGTTTAGTGGTTTGATCTATTTCTGGCCCAACGATTGGGGCGAAGAATGCCAACCGGATATCCAGTATATCCAGTCGTAGGAAAGTCATAGCAGTCATAGCACATCCCCCCAGGTCGCGCTGGGAGGGGCACCATGTTTGCAACATAGCCTGCCACGAAGGAACTTCCATGCGGAGCGGGATCACCAGGATCAGCAACGAAGGGAGCGTGACAATGTTGGATATTCCTATACTGATCCTGATGATCCTGGAGTAGGAAGGATCTAAACTGGACCATTCACAATAGGCAAGCACACGTTATTTCTTTGAAGTTGACGATGTTCTCTACTCCTCTACTGGCTTTTCATCGCATGGGGATGGAACATGAATTGTCGCGTCGAAAGCATGACGTGCGTCCAACGCATGTAACAAATTCGCCCAAGAACATCTCATTTGGATGAATAAATATGGCTCAAAATTGTCTACGACCAAAATAGAGCTTTTCAATACTATAAATGACAAATTCTGTTACTGGGCTGAGTGGCACGCTAATGGCTTGACCCATACCTGTATCTTTCCCGCTGTGAAGCTTTGTTAGTGTGAAATCCCAAAAACATTGGCTGCTTCATGGGGCTCCCATGATGGATGTCATGAAAATCATTGAAAATCCCCAATCAACAAAACTTGAACAGGTTGTTTAATTAGATCACCCAAAAATCAATCCACAACCCCCCTTGCTGGTTGTTCGTCTCAGCATGAAAAACATGTCACCAAGCAGCTTGGGGTGGCAGCTAAGCCATGAGCATCAACCAACAACCAAGGCCAGCTTGAAAAAAAACATCACACCCCTGGGTCGTAGTTGAGTCCCCGACAGTGGACTGTCCAAATCATTCAGAACCTACAGGACTAAATCGCTTACTAAAAGGACTAATAGTGGTTAACCACAGATAGCTTAAGTGGTTTTTATTACCGTAATGGAAAAGGCACTTATAGTATTATAGTGGCTACTCCAGCACGATTCCTCGGATGATCCTCCATCATGGTCCATGTACGTTTCCCGGCCGCGTCCCACCTGCCATTCCGTCCCCCATGACCATGTACGTGCCCGGAGGTCCCTGCTGAACTCCTAGCAACTCGCCAGTTTTGGGGCTACTAGGGGCAAAAGAAGTATAGAAAGTTCAACTTCCTCCCCTATGAAACAAATCAAAACATCCAAACATGAAGAATTAACAAATGAAAAAAGGGGGATCAAGCAATGAGACCGCTGATTAATCCAGCAAATGTGAGATAACAGAAACACAATGGAAGAATTTAAAACAAGAGGTGGGAGCAAACTAAACTATAGCAGTTTCTACAACAGCTGGAAGCTCAATATGGCTAGGAATCCAAAAGTAGAGCATCATCGAATGCAGTCCCCATGTGTTTTGTGTATACATGATGCTAAGAAGAACTCGTCACATTTACATTCTTTCTTTGATTGTCCCAAACATTAGCTTCAAGCATAAGAAAACCACAATCTTATATATACGTATATACACACAACATATATATATATATATATCAACTAACCAAACTACCGTCTGGTAACTTGATGTAGCTATGGACAATCACCATCCTCAATAGGCAAATTCATCTAGAAATGAAGCATGTTCGATAGCAAACAGTGAAATCACCGGTGGTACATATTGGTTGTGGATGGGATTTACGGCCGCCCGCGCTTCATCCTTGGCATCCTTGGCATCCTTGGCATCCTTGCCATGCGGGCATGCTACCTGCCGGCCATATCTTGTCTTGTGAGAGGTGTATTGGACATATCGATGATTTGAGGGAAAACCTGAAAGGAAAAGAATACCAATGGAAGTCAAATGGAAATATCTCAATGGAAATGTCAATGGAATATCTCAATCAGGAAAAGCACAGATTTAACCTTGAGATATTGCTTTCCTCTAGGCTTTTCCGTGGATCGATGGACAATCAACCTGCCCGGCGTATGTCGTCATGATCCATGGGTCGCTTTGACAAGCACTCGCCTCCCACCAGCACCACCACCATGGTAAGTCACTTGTTTGAAGGGAAACATCTACTTAACTCATGATGAATCCATTGTTGTCCTATCAAAAATCCTATCAAAAATATGAGGATGTCCTAAACAAAATTCCCTTCAAAAGTGTTGATGCAAGACAGCAACGCAAGCACCAATGCGACCTTTTAGCCGGACCACGAAAGGTAAAAAGCCAATGGGTCAAGATCTGATAAATGGCCGCGGGATCAGTGTGGAATGTCTGACATGCTTCCATTGCCAATGCTAGGTTTCAACAGCTGATCTTCTTCTTTTGTTGGTAATGGACGAAAGACAGTGAACAACACTGATGCCACGGCGCCTATTGGGGCTTGCAAGCTACGGAGTTCCTTCACAGGCACCTGCTCTTCCAAGATCCTCCATTCAGAAAACCCCGATTCTCTGTCGAATCGAGCGTAAGAGCTTCGAAATGGGAATTTCAAAGGATCACATCTGGGAACTGGTGACCTAAATGACTTAGCATTCCTAGCAACCTGCACTACCAGTCGATCTTCAAAATGCCAACCGGGAGTTTCACTCAGCCGATGCAGATATGGAAAAACCGCATGACTCTCACTCAAAGGCTGCCCAGGAAGCTCCGCTGTAGAGCTCGTCAATGTCAAGGCCCGCTGCTTGCAGCTCTTCGCAACCTGCTTGATGAACTTCGTGGTGTACTTCGGACACCATTCACCAGCAGCTAGGATGGCACGCATGTGCTCCAAATCCATTTCCTTTGTGCCGCCATCCACGAACATATTCTCGGTGGAGGTCCAACGCAAACTTGTGTTGGGACGGCGCAACATGGTTCGGATCCACGCCACTGTGAAAGCCAGTGACTTCTGCGATCCATAGCTTGGCGTATCTGAGAGACACTTATCGAAGACGTCCTTCGCATCCACAACCACGGTCATGGGGATCGCCTCCAAAATGGAATCCACATGCCTCACCGCCATAGGGTAGCCTCGCAAGGAAGCAACCAAACCACGACAGTATTGCCCCACGTCAAAGGCCTCTTCAGTGCCCAAAAGTTCAGCACTGAAAGTCGATCTGCATACACGCTGAAGACGATGGCTCCTCGCATCCAGCAAGCAGAATTTGCCTGATTCACCGGGCATCATCTTTTCCTCTGCGATCAAAACCACATAGGAAGCCTGACTAAAGACCTTTGTTGTGACATCACCTGCAGTGCTACCATCTTTGTTTACGTTGCCCAGGGACGCATCAGAAACCACCATGATTCCTGCATTCTCCAGTGACATAGGCCTAAAACGCAAACCAAAACTGCCTGAAGCCTTGAAGGTTTTCACCAAAAGGTTCGCCCTCATCAGTGTGCCCACCGTAGGCTTCTCTCCCTGCAAGGTTGACAAGGCAAAACCCTGATCCACTCGAACTTGAGCAACCAACCATTGAAGTGAGCCTAAAATGGCTCTCAGCTGCTTTTTCTCTGCATCGTTCAACTCAGCATCGGGGTTCTTCTTTCGATGCACAGGAACATTCACTGGTTGAAGGTTGGCATGATACTCCGGCATGGTCACATGAATGACTCCATGTTCATCTTGAGACACCTTCTTGCCGCAGTAATTGAAAGAGTTATGCTCAATGCTGCCAAAACCCAACTCTTTCTCGAGGGACAGGATGCTCTCGCGAGCACGAGGACTGCCGCCGCATAGCAAATCATCGACGTGTGAAAGCACCACACCAAGCAAAACAGAGTTGCCTTTCTCATCGATCTCCCACAGCATCCAGCATGCTGCATCCATAGGATTTCTTGTCCAACCACGCTCTGTCAGAGCTCGGTGCAAACGCAAATACCATTGCCTCGGCGCATCACTCAGACCAAAGACGCCCTTTTTGACACGAGCAAGGCCAAAGCGGCCGAAAGGCAATTGAGGCTCGCCATGGTTGTTCTTCACATTCTGTATGAAGAGCTCACGCGTTCCTGCAAGATAGCGGTCACCGTTGAGAAAGGCGCTTTTCACATCCACTGACAAAAGCCTCCAACCAAAGTCTTTGAAGTAAGCTGCAGTCAGGGTGAAGGTCAGATGCTGACTTGTTCGACTGGCTGTCGGAGCATCTTTGCGAATTGCATAGGCCAGAATATCCTTGAATCCAGGCACGACCAATCTAGCATTTGCCTTCAACTCCAGGTTATTGGTGGGGGTTCTCAAACCATCATGCTTGTCTGTGAACACCCAACGAGGCGTGAGGATTTTGCAGTCTTCATTCTTGGACTTGAGGTCATTGCGAATCTTGCTAGCTTCACGGTCAGACAAGACCTCAACTGCATCATTGGTCACCCAAACGTTCCAACCTGCTTCAGCTGCTTTCTCAAAAGCCAACTTCTGCTTGGCATTCATGTTGTGCCAAAAGTACTCTTTACGAGCTGTCTGCACTGCCATGGCCTCATTGATATCATCATTGCCCGATGGCCAAGTCAGACCATACTTCTGCCGAATGTTCCACTCCAACTGAGACGGAAAATCCCAGTCACCACGCCAAGTTCCATGGTCTCGAACATGGCTGTCTAAAGGTTGGAGTCGATCGGCACAGGCTTCAGCATGAAGACGCACCAAGGGATGAACCTTCTCTGCATCCACATTCAGCACAGACATCACATCCTCTTTGCCAATGACCAAGGCGTCATGAGCCGCTGAAGAACCAGCAGCTTGAGAAGATGCTTCAGGAGCTTCAAACGCAGAGCGGGTGTCAGACCGAAGTTGTTCAGGACCAACACTCGCAGGCCTCTTGGCGCCACCTTCCTCCACATCGGCTGAAATGGCACGAGCATGACTGAGTGCCCTTTGAAGTCTGGGAGCTCTGCTTGTTGTCGTCCTTGAGGAATCCACAGGAGTCATCCTAGGCGTTGAAGGAGTAGGTGTTGGTGGAAGAGGGGCCTCCAAGGACTGCCTTCTGGACAAGGTTCCAACCACAGAAGGAATTGAGGGCTCAACGCTCGCTTGAACAGCACCAATCAACTCTTGAGGCTGGACTGGAGGTAAGTCTTCGGCCATAAGTCCAGGGCCACTGACTTCACCACTTGATTGTTCACCTGCAACTGCATGTTGAGCTGGCTGCGGTATAAGTCCATCACCGCCAGCCGACTGCGGTATAATTCCACCACCGCCAGCCGGATCAGCTCTACCATCACTGGGCAAACCACTGATGGTCAAATCATGCATCGCCTGGCTGATGACATCTTCAATAGCATCTTTCCACACATCAGAGGCGATCTGTTCCAAGGGCGAGGCTTTTCTCACATGCTCCATGCTGCACTTGGTCAACTGGCCCTTGAAGGACAAGTAGGCATTCGCTCCATTGCTGCCATCGGAACTCTTTTCAATGGCAACTAAAAGTGCAGGCCCATGCCACCTCTTCAGTGACAACCGACGTCGATTTTGGCTGTGCTTTGAGTTGTACTTCTGGAAACGGAAAAAGTAAACAATCTCACCAGGATTCGGCTCATTCTCAATGGTGGGATTTCTGCTTCGTGCTAATTCTGCCCTTCTAAGGCCACGACTGAAATGCAGTCTTGTCATTGCGACTTTTGCCGTTTCCCGCAGTGCCAACTGCCTTGCAAATGAAGGGTTGTTGCTAACCAAATCATGCTCAGCCAATCGACTCTGCACATCACTCAGCACGTCACCTGGAAGTCGTGGAGCTTTTCCAAGTGCCGCTTGGGCTGGAGAAACACCAGATTCATTGATGTCATGGTTGTAAGCTGACAAGGCTTCTCCAAGCGCCACGGCCATATCGTCCTTGCCTACGACTGAGTTTGCAACCACTGTAGCACCCAATACAGCCTTTAATATCCCACCTGACCTCTCTGCTATTCCATTCTGCCATGGGGCACCAACGCCAATGTGCCAAAGCAACACAGATTGCTCAGAGCAAAAATCTTGGAAGGCATGGGATATGAACTCCCTGGCTTGGTCACACACCAGAGTCCGCATGGGGCCAAAAACAGGAAGCCAAACTGTACGAAAAAAGTTGATCACATCATCCGCAGTCCTACGCTCCAAAACTTGACCAAGCTGAAAACGAGTGCAGAATTCTGTGGCATGGATGATGAAAAACTTCTGTCCAGTTGCATCATAGACTTCAACTAAGTCACAATGAACTTGATCTGAAACATCGCGAGGTTCAGGCAGTGAAGCTGGTCGTTGAGGACGGGGAGGAACTCTCTCCATGCAAACACTGCACTTGTGTTCCTTTGCCGCCCGAATGACCTCAGAAGGAGCACCTGAAAGAGTCAGAGCCCTGGCCAATCGTTTATTGCTTCGATGGCCGGTGTTGTTGTGCAAACGAGCAATCAGAGCTCTAACTGACGCAGGAATCTTGCCATCGATGGCGGGGACCACACGTTCTTCAACTTCAGAATCGGAGTCAAACATCGGCAATGCCGAAGCTGGGAAGTCATCTTCTTCTCCAGGACCAACCGCCAACACCTCAGAGCTCTTCAATGCCTCCTCATTGAACTGCCTCTCCATGCCAATGACCAGCCGCTTGGCCAATCGGATGGGATAGTGACCAGCACGTTCCGTCACTGCCTTCCCACCGATCACAGGATCATGAACATGAGTGCGCGTGCACCGACAATTCTCCAAGGACGAAGTCACCGTAGGGCTCGAAGATGCCAACTGCGTTGCCTTTCGATGAAGACCACCGCCTCGACTTCGCAAACCAAGTCGACACTGATCAAAAGTGACTGTGGAGGCCAAGCTGGACTCCATGAACCGCATCATTGAAGGTTCCTTCCATGCGCCGCTAGGACGCGGGTTTTCCATCACATAGTGCCGTCCTCCATCAAGTTGAATTTGCGCCAGTTCAATGGCAAAGTCCATCAAGATTCTGCCGTTCTTCAAGTTCTCCTCATGCATAGGTGACGGATTCAATCGCTGCAAAGGACTGAAAGGGCCACAAGGAAACGCCAGCATGAGGAAGAGGGGTTTCTCCTTCTTGATGATTTCTTTGGCTTCTTCTCGATGTTCAGGTATCAGAAAATTCCAACCAGTCTCCAAGCTCATTGGGGTTCCAACACGATGCCCACGTTTTGCTGCTTCGTTCATGACACGCTGCGTGTTGGTGTAGACCTCAGACACCAAAGGTGATGCCGAAGATCTCTTCAAGGATGAAGCTTGTGCACCTCGAAGTCGCTCCAAAGGGTGAGCAAGTGCCGAACTTCTCGTCAATCATGAAGCGCTCGGACGCTGCAGAGAGCGAGCAATTGTCGAACTCCTCGTCAAGGGAATAGTGCTCAAACCACGCGCGCGCTCCAAAGTGCCAGCAAGTGACATAGGTCTCTTCAAGGGTCTTGTGGTTCTCAGGGACGATGTCATTCTTTGGGACGTAGAGCTCGACTGTGATCTCAAAGGACTCAAAGATGGACTCAAACGTTGTGGCTTCGAACTCGTCATGGGCGAGGTTCGATTCAAGGAAGATGTAAGGTCCACCGCATGCACAAAGATCTTGCATCTCCTTCTCAAATTCAACCTCCAAGATCTCTCTGACATCCTTGAAACCAGCGGAAACCTTCTTGCAGTCTGCCATGTGCTTGTTCCAAGCATCCGCAATCAGCTTTGCTTGGCCTCTCTTGAGATCTTGTCTGATCTCAAAGGCTTCCGCGTCATTCAATCGTCCAAATTCACCATGTTGTCGTACACGGTCATGTCCACCGTCAGAGGGCCGTTCGCTGCCGCCCGTCGGATGGCCCACTCCCCATCCTGAAGATCCTGATAGCCACTTGCCATCGCTTCGTCGATACGTTCCTGGGTCCACCCATCGTCGCACTGATGCTCCATCGTCACATCGCTGGCCATGGAGAACGTCGGGGGTGCGGCTTGAGATGGACCTGAAAGGCTGGCCTGATGAAACTGCTCGGCCGACACGCCCAGCTTGAGCATGGTTTCTTGAAACTTCTGTTGTTGCTCCATCAAGTACTTGTGAACATCTTGTTGCGGAACAGACTTCATGGCTGGTGGTGGCTGAACCTGCTTCATGGTTTGTTTTGGAACCACCTCCTGAGATGACCTTGCCGTTGATGCAGTTTTGGGCTGAACCTTCAACAACTCGACTGTTGGTCGAACTGCATCTTTTAGCTGAGGCACTGTCATCTTCTCGTTGATGGGGACCTTCACAAGAGCTGTCAGTCGCACCAAATCTTGGCGAAGGCTTGGAAGACCTCCGCGGGGACCAATCATCGCCCTCGCCTCGTCTTCTGCCTGGCCCTTCTTCAGCGCCAAGTCTGCCTTCGCCTTGGCCTCTTTCATGGCATCTCGCTTGACTTGAGATGCAAGTCCCGCCACGGCCTTCCCAGCCATCATGCCGTCGAGCAGCGGGTCCTCCAAGAAGCTCATCTTGATGCCGAAGCGGTTTCTCAGCTGGATCGCGTCTTGGAAGTTTTGGACATTGAAGCTCTTTGCAGCCAAGGCCTTTCGAAGCGCCGCGGCTGGCAGAATGCCATTCTCCACCATCATAGTTGCTTGCTTCTGCCACTGGACCAGGTTGCCGACAGCTGGGTACGGACACGGTAGATGTCGCAGACCAGGATGCCGCACAAGCCATAAGTGCAACCCAGAAAGGTGCCAACGGGATCTTGCGTCCATTCTGAGCACCAGTCTTCGCCACTTGTGGAGAACGCTGCCGTTGGGTTGAAAATCCATGAGTGACAGTCAGACACTCACGACAGCTTCTTGCTGAAGATCTCGAAGTCAAAGATGTCGTAGAGGATGGAGTCGTAAAGGAAGTTGCTGCAGGACAAGTCATGCAGGTCTCTTGAACCACGGCTTGGACGGCAGGAAAAACATCATCAGTGTTGTGACCATCTACATCTACCAAATTGTGAACAGCCAAACTTGCCTTCAAACTTCTCTCTGTCAAATAATGCTCATGAGTTGACTGTTGACCTTGAGGAATCCTACCACCAAGTTTCTGATCCAACCATTTGCGTGTTGACAACTGCAGTTCAACTACTCCATCTATGCCAAACTTTCTCCAACGTTGAGGGCCCACACGCTTCCACGCTTGAGGCAGCAATGGTAGCAGGTAATGACCTGCAGTCAACTGCTTCAAGTGGATTGCAGCTGAACCAATGAAGTCAAACTTGATGATCTTCCGAGAAAAGTCCATCGTGGCTCCTAAAGTTTCCAAAAAATCACGGCCAAGGAGAAGTCCAAGACTAGGCACAGGGACTATGGAAACATTGAAGCACACCAAAACATCACCAATCATCATGGGCAACCTCCAACGTTCATGGCTAACTTGAGTTCCGCCATCACCAAACTTGAAAGTCTCAGTTTCATCAGTCTTTGAAATCAAATCACGCACATCTTGAGGAGCATCATGGAGAGCATGCAAAAAGGTCTGAAGCCACTGGGGTCCAGTCACCGTTCTATTGCAGGCTGAGTCGAGGGCACCAACCAAACGCTTGTCCTGGGCGAGTCCAGTCGAGACTGCATAAATTTCTCGCTTCGTTGAACTCTGCTCCAAAGCTTCGCTCATGGACATGTTGGGATTGACCTTCGTCACAGTCAAAACTTCATTGGAATCATGACCATCATCTATGGGCCCATCCACAACATGCTCAGTATTGAGAGTCTCGACAACCCTCACAGACTTCGGCGGCTTGCGAGAGCTTTTCCTTCCAATGCCAGCGCCTGGACTCGAGCAGCTTGAGTCTCCTGCCCAATGCCCAACTTTTCCACAGTCAAAACAGGGATATTTCCCCGACGACTTCTTGGCATCTACTTTCGCTTTGGTAGAAGTCGTTGAAGTGCCTGTAGGAGACACCTTGCCATAGCCTCTGTCTTTCTTCACCTCAGCCAGCTTGTGACGGGCTTCACGCATCGTCACCAAGGCTTCTGCAGCAGACTCCACCGTCTCCTCCATGTCTTGGACCAAGCTGGCATCAATGCCATCCTCCAAGGCTTCTTCGATCTCTGATGCCAGAATCTCAGCTTCAGCTTGAAGCACCTCTTCAAGGTTGTTGCCACCATTCTCATTCTCCGGAATCATCTCCTCTTCATCTTCAGGCACCTCGTCATCTTCAGTCTCGGTCACATGTGCTTGACGAGGAGGATTGCTAAAAGGCTTTCGATATGTCGAATGCCGGGATGCCGAAGTTGCAAAGGATCGGCTTGAACCACCTGAAGACATTGAAGCAGCTGCTGAGGACGGTGCATATGAACTTCTGCTTGGTGGACCTGACTGCTGAGACAGAAAACGCCTAAAAACTGGGTTCTTCTGCTGTTCCACTGCACGTCGTTGCAAAGGGTCTGAGACATGCAAGTCACGAAACAACCTCAGCACTTCCACCTCAGTCTCTTCATAGGATTCTTTCCCCTGAAGCGCAGTCTCAAGGAGTTGGGTTCTAATGGCGTCCAAACCCAACTTTTGTTTGAGAAACCATCCAAGCTCTCCCGAGGGCAAAGTCACCCCTTCCATTCTCAAATCTGCCACTGCTGATCTGAACCTTGTGCAAAACTCAGAAATGCGCTCGCCGGGTTTCCGACGAAGTTCCAAGTAGAAGGAGTTGCGCAAATCTCCTCTCTTGTCAAGCACTGTCTTTCCGTTGATGGACTCCAAGGCTTTCAACAGTTTTCGCATGCCCTTTAAAGGATCTGCCTGAACCACCACATATTCATCACCAGTCTCAGGGTCTATGGCTTTCTCCTCAGGTTGATGGGCAAGCTCACTGGGTGTGAACTCCTCACCTCTTTGCCTTACTATGCCACTCTGCCGAAGGAGCCATCTTGCAGCTAAGTTATACTTCGTAGTTGCATTGACATCCAAGGATTCCAACCACCATTCCATCTCACGTTGAAATGACCGCCAACTCTTTGGATCACCATCCCATGTGGGCACCTTGCTCCATGCCCCACTGCCTTTCTCATCGTCCGCCATTGCAAAAGATCTCTCCTAAGGAGAAGATGTAAAAGAGGGTGAAAACCTGAAAGTGAAACCGAGGGCCAAGACGATGAATTCGAGGGTGACTTATTCTCCCTGTCCTGAATCGAGCCAAAGTTCTCCGCAAGGATCACCCTCGAAGTTCTCAGGGACAAAGAGCAAGTCAAACGTGCAAGATCAGAAGAGCAATGCTAAGCGGAGTGCAACAGCAAAAGCAAAGGCCACCTGGAAAGCGGCTCCGGTGCCACTGTTGATGCAAGACAGCAACGCAAGCACCAATGCGACCTTTTAGCCGGACCACGAAAGGTAAAAAGCCGATGGGTCAAGATCTGATAAATGGCCGCGGGATCAGTGTGGAATGTCTGAAATGCTTCCATTGCCAATGCTAGGTTTCAACAAAAAGTAACCCCATTAAATATAGCAACCATTTTCAGTGGACCGTTCTACAAATTTTGATCAGGACTTTTCAACACCTTCCCTAACTTCCGTTTTACTATGGCCCTTTACCAGCTAGTCAGTTAGTCAGTTACAACCCCATTTATGGAATGATTTCCCCCTTCTACAGCCACAAAAATACCTAGTAGAACTGGGGCGGAAAAAAAAACTGTAGGCCTCGCTCGTGAAATCACCCAGGGCCTGGGTTCCACTGTGGTTCTTGAGGCCAAGTCTGGGGAGCCATCGGAGCTACACCCGCTGGCGCCATGGGCGCCATGGGCGCCATGCCGGGTTGAGGTTGAACGCCTCAGCCGAAAATCGGGGGGGGGTACCATTTCAATAGCCATTTACTATTTGGGGGAACCAGCACAGTTCATCAACCAGGGTGCCAGGCTAAATCCGGGGTTGACAAACAGTGAACTTTTGACGATTTTTTGTCCAGATTGATACAGGAACAGGACACATCATCTTTTGGCGAGGGGTTCTGTGGGCATGCCGGGCATACTTGAATGGTGAGGTTGCAACACCTTGAAAAATGAAGAATCATACCTGTTTTTTTTTCATTTTCAGGTGATTAAATGCACTTACTTCAAGCACCCAAAGCCGATGTTCAAATTGGATAAAGTGATGGCATAAGGATTTTGGAATGATAAATTGGATACTTACTTCCATATTGTTTAATGAATGATGACAATATATGGCTTGACTTCATCAACATCCAAAAATGACTTCATCAACATCTTTTCCCAATAATTCCATGTGTTTTCTTCCATGGCGTGCTGGAGAATCCAGCAACTGCCCCTCAGCAGCCCACCGGCAGGCGGCCAAGGCCAAGCACACCTCAGGAAGCTGAAGAGCCGATGCATGGAATATCCTGAGGTCCCTGTATGGATATATACCCTCTGGTTATTTAACATAGCCATGGAAAATGGCCCATTTATAGATGGTTTACCTGTGTTTACCTATTAAAAATGGTGATTTTCCATGGCTATGTTAAATAACCAAATGGTATATATATGTATATTATGTACACAATGTATGACTCACACATCTATCATAAACAAATCGCCCTAAACGGTACAGAAAAAAAACATGAGATACGTTGAGATGTGGAATGCCATGGTACATATTATACATGATAACTACCATAGAAAATGGTGATATTCCCATGGATTTTCCCATGGGATCACAAAGGTGTCCGGCTGGGTCAACTGACGGTTGATACACAGGCGAAGCGTCCGGCCACTGGGCCGGTCGGAGCGACCTGTTGGTTTAATGCTGGTTTTTCAACCACTGGTGGTTTGTTTGGTGATTATTTCATGGTAATAAAAAAGGTGATTTACCATCTCGTAAATCACTAATAGCTACGGAGAATGGCGATAAACATGTCGATGATTTACATTTGGATTATACATTGATTTACCTGGTAAACCCTCCAGTAAATGAACAGTTCGACAATGATTTTATCACCCATGTTTAGTGGAAAGTCATCTGAACCAAGTCCAACTCATGGCAGGGTCTATGTTAGTTTACTGGAGGATAATAATTTCAATGGTTAAAATGTTTGAATGATAAATGCTACGAATAATTAAGCTGAATGAGAAATAATTAAGGATGAATGATGAATCATTAAATAGATTTAAATAGTAGCAGCTTAGTAGCAATAAAACTATTGTTATATAATATGATGATAAATGAGAAATTATCAACAATATCAGCAAGAAATGGCTAATACAAAATGATCAGTATAACAACAGGGTTCATAAATTTGCTTAATAATCCAATGCCTCATAGGAAGGTGACCCCCCGAATCAATCGATTAGCATACAAAGCGCCAAAACCAGAGGGATTTCTCATGGGAGACCCCTGTGGCCGCCCCAAAGCATCTAGAAATGGCTGGCTGAGAGATGGTGATCTAATCAACAAACATGGGGGTAAAAGGATACAACACCAACCAAACAAATTGGGGAAAACATCGGTAATTAATATGGTATAATGGTTCGGTGACCCTGATCATATGTTGTTAATGACTAGTCTTTGTTGGTGGTTCATCAGTCCTACATAAACCATGATCCTGTGTTTTGAAGGTCACCTCTGGACGGGGTCTTGGCAAATCTGGCGAAAAGGGGGATATGTTGGCACAGCAAACATGATTTTCAGCAGCTAAACTGGTGATATAGATGAGCAACAGGTTTTTCTCATGGTTGGTAGGAGAAGTCACCCAACTTATACTTGGGGGTGATAAGTTATTTCACAGTGTCTACGAAGCAGTTCTTCACCAGGATGGACCTCTGTCGGTTCCCGGCTTCTGACTGGGGCACCACTGGTACTCCGAAAAAGGACAGGAGGAAGTAAGAAACAGCCAAGTTCAAACATACGTTTAGCTACCTGAACACCTGCCAACCAAACAACTTTGACTCATTCACTCCTAGCCTTTCTGTAAACTTTGGGGGAGATCCATGGAAATCCCAAGGCCATCCCCAACATCAAACCATCGAAACTCCATGGAAATCCGCAGTTTCCTTCCTCAGAAGGCCACCCCAAAAACTGCTGGGTGCCCGCAACGGGTCTACAGGTGTCATGGGTGTCATTGGTGGCCCCATGAATGTGGGCGATCCAGAGTAGATGGCCCTGCGCGGGAAAACTGGCCCTGCTGGCTGAGTTTCATGACAAGTTGACACCATGATTTTGCTCAGGCCCCATTTCTACTCATTTCTGGAAAAAAAATGAAGTCAAATTTAAGCGCAAGGCTTGGATTTACACGTCAAGAGCCGAGTGAACATGTTCCTGCACAGGGGCCCGGCATTTCTGACCATGGAACAGGCAACTACCTTTCATTCCGAGCAAAATGACCATCTGAATTTCCGGAAATCTGGCCAAAGTCCTCCTGACAATAATATGGGATAATAATGATATATGGATATATATATATACTTGGGAATATCATCAAACACTTTTGAGATGTCTTGAGATACTGAAGAGGCACAGCAACCATCAATTCTGCAAGGGGCATCTACATCGTCTAAATTTGGTCAAAAAGGCTTACCAGTGATCCCAACATGATCACTTTCCTTGGCCAACTTCTACAGCTATACATTAAACAATGTATTCATAGTAGTTTGATGTTATTTGTTTGGCATGTTTTGCTTCGTTCCATTTCAACTTCCCTTTTTTTGCTGGTCGCTTTTCTGGTTACAATCATCCCATGATACTTGATCTTACATACTTTTAAATTAGGAAAATTCCCGGCAGTGACTGAGCCCAAAAAATCGGTTCAAAAGCTGGGTGATCATCTATATATTGGCCATTTCGCATTGCAAACTTGAAAGTACTGCACCCAAGCATGGGTAACATCTATTAACCATCCAATCAACCATCATCAACCACTACTAACCACTCATTAAGAGTTATCCGTCATTATTAACCATTTCTTAATCATTATTCACCATCCTTAACCATTATCAACGGTTGTATACTAACCATTCATCTGGGTAAATTATAACAGTTCACTAACCTGAATAGTTCGGCCATTTTGGGATGATTCCTCTTACCAACCATGATTCCAGGCTTCGGGAGAACAGGCTTCGGTCGTGATCAAATTTACCCAGATTATCCCAGATTCATTATTCACCACTATTCACTTACCCATGACGGATCCATGGTGCTGGTATATATGGTGTGCCATGGATCCCATCAATATACCCCAGTCATGTTAGCATTAATATACCAGCACCATGAACCACTACCCTCTGGTAAACATACAAAAAGCTATGGTATAGATGGCCCATAGAAATAGATGGTTTACCTATAAAAAATGGTGATTTTCATTGATTTTCCATGGCAAACTGTTAGTCATAACCAGAGGGTACTCTACTTATCCCAGATTCATGAACCACCTAACTACAATTATCCCAGATTATCCCAGATTATCCCAGATTATCCCAGATTCATGAACCATCGAACTACAATTATCCCAGATTATCCCAGATTCACTTACAATCGAACCGAATCGAACCATCTCATCGACCGTATCGACCGATTCCGAGAAACGCGCCTGGTGGAGGCGTCGCCCGTGGGAGAGCCAACAGGGAGGGAACCTATTTTTCGACGCTCCGGGTGCTGGGCTGCCCAGTTATAAACCATGAAAACTAAAGTTATACCCTCTGGTAATTTAACATAGCTATGGAAAATCACAATTTTTAATGGGAAAATCCACTATAAATCACCATTTTCAATAGCTATTTTGACATAACCAGAGGGTAAAGTGTTATATCTACCACAAACCATAGTTAAGCCACTTTTTTTACGTAACATACGTAACTTAGCTATCTTGGGGACCCCATAGAATGTGGGAATTCTGTGGATTTTCATGGATTTATAGGAATGGTTTCTCATAGAATTGGGTTTTACTCAGATCAATGATTAAATGATATATTTATCTAACTCGATGGGAAATCAATGGAATTTATTGGATTTGACGTCTGATTCTAATGGGATTTAAATCTGATTTTTCTCAGGTTTTAGCGGATCGTAAATGTCCGTTTATTAAGAATTTTACAGAATTTTGATGGATTTTAAATGGATTTAAAAGTGATTTTAGTAAGATTTTGATTGGACATTGACTTTAATTTCAATACATGTTTTATGTCCGTATCTATCTCTCTCCCCTTATCTCTCTGTATGCATACACCATCTATCAATATTGGTTTGTCCAAGAGGGGGGTGCTACCATTCAAATTACACATTTAGGAGAGCACATATCAGCACATGATGATACCAGTAGTGTAAACCATGTGGTTTTCCCCAATTTTGGTCCAAATTCAAGACAACATTTATATCATAAACTCACGCCAGCGCCCCCAAATAGATGGAAAAGTTAGAACATGGGAAATATGGAGGAAACATCATTGAACTACCATTCTGGAAACACTTTTCTATCTTTTTTGGGGGTTGCTATATCTGGTTGGTGGTTTCAACCCCTCTGAAAAATATTAGTCAGTTGGGATTGGTCTTCCCAATATATGGAAAAATGTTCCAAACCACCAATCAAATATAGTAATTATTGTTTTACCAAAAACTCAGTTTGCCAGCCATTGGTCCGAAAAATCCTGAGTTTCCTGCCGCCATTCATGGGAGAACGGGCAGGCGGACCACCAGAAGCACCTTGGACTAGCAAGAGGAGCGCCAGTTCGAATGAGGAAAAAACGCCACTGATAAGACTGCGTTAATTTATGCTTATATTAGTATTATCTAATTGAGATACATCAAGAAACCTCAGTTACCCAATTTTCTGAGATAGCTTCGGAGATCATCCCATGAAGTGTTTGCTGTTAAATGATGTTTTCAATGCACCCTTTCATTTCGGTATTCTGCCTGGGCCTATGCCTGGGTATCGTTTCAATCCCATGCCAGGCCAACAGATGACTTCTTCATGCATATTCTTATGCCACACAGAAGGCTGACGAATGACTATGTATGTACATGTATATATATATAGTGCGTGTGTGTGTCACTCAATAACTATAGTGTAATTTCATGTAATTTCCATCATGGAATCTGAATATCTCCAATGTATTGGGTAGTATTACACTATCACCCCACATTTTCCTCAACCAGCAGGGGTTTTGAACACTGCTCAATTGGTGGTCGAATTTCTTGAGGGGCCACACCTATAGCTCCGCAGGGCAAGAAGACGGCAGGCCTGGATTTCACCATGGAAAATAGGGATCCTTCGCCATGATCTGACCATACCTTGGGGATTTTGAATAGACATGTCCTCTGATCCTTCACACTCCATATGGAACCCGCCCTGTTCACGGCACATCTCAGCCAAGTCTTCAGGGAACACCGCGCCTTGGCTGCTCGATGGGAGATGTACTCATGATGCCTGGCCGTGGATCCATTGGGATTCCCCACGCAACGGACATCGCAATCGTTCAGAACGAAAAACATCTCAAAAAGCGATAGTTTCAGGCGTTTCAAAGATGTAATACCTTCCATTTTTAGCCACAAATAGGGTCTAGCCTGGCTTGCTGTCATTCATCTTTTTAGGGATGGCGGCAGAAAACACCACAATTCCAACACCTGGAACCAAGGCTTGGATCTGGTCGGAGCCCGCGAATGGACGTAGTTTCCCAGGAAAATATGGCAAGGTCTTGTTATTAGTCTATCCCTCTTGGTATATATATATATATACATATATATATATAACTATATATATATATTTGGGTTTGTCTGATAGCGTGCTCAAAAACCTCATTCCAACCACTGCTTCAATGATCATGCTCTTCATTGCTTGAATGGAATGCATTGATTTCACGAAATCATAGGTGATGTATCCCAGTCATAGCCCCACGATCCACTTTTAGTTAAATAAATGGACTATACATCTAAGTTTACATTGTCATAGCCCCATGATCCACTTTTAGTAACTTGATGTTAGATGTATATTATACCCAAGCGGCTAAACTGGCGCATAGATGTCGGTCAAATCACCCTATTTTCTATATAGGTAAATCAACTATAAATAGAAAATAGTTCCACATTTTCTATATAGGTAAATCATCATTTTCTATCAGATAAACTAACATTCATGGGCAATAACTTCCACATACCTCTGTCAGTTTACCCTAGGGCCATGCCGGCTACATCTCTTTTTTTACAGAGACCACCGCAACGTGCCTGGCCACATCGGAGGAGTCGGCATGGCCTGGCTCCAACATATGGAAAGTCATAAAAGTCCATGGTTCCAGGAAAAACACCAACCAGGATCGAATCATACTTATGTCCATCATAGTTATGACAGTGTTTAATGATAGTGATTAATGATGATAGTTATCATAAGAATTTTAGAATCACACTTATGTCAGCTATAATAGTTATTAATGATTGTTATATATGTCATTTTTTTTTAAATTCTAGTTATATGTCATAATAACTATGATAGTGATTAATATAATGATAGTGTTTATATAATGATCTGGTGATTAATGATAGTTATACCCTCTGGTAAACGTTTACATAACTATGGAAAATCACCATTTTTAATAGGGAAAATCCACTATAAATGGCAATTTTTCAATAGCAAATTGTTAGTTTACCAGAGGGTAAACCTCCATTTTCCTATGGTTTTCCTATGATTTTCCCATGTTCCTATGGTTTTCCTATGGTTTTAGAGGCTGTTGCCGTGGCTCCATGGCTCCGCCTTCGCGGCGGCGCTTGTGGCGCCGCAGGCGCCGCAAGGCGCCGGCGCCGGCGGAGCACCGCACCTGATGCGTCTGTCGATATTTGAAGATCATCCCAGCCTAGAGGGCAACACATATATCCAAATATATTGATATTTGATATTTGAAGATCATCCCAATATATATCCAAATATTTGGAGAACGTGAGAAAAAGAGGGCAAGTGTCTCACACTTCGCAGTATGCAAAAGGACCGAAAGGGAGAGAGTGCCAACAAGGCTGGTAACATAACCACCTATGATGCACATCACCCCCAAAGCGAGATATTTTTCAAAACTCATCGGGTGCATTGAGGTCTGTCTGAAAATGGGCTATGCGATGGTGACAAACCCCCTGTCAAATGGCTATAATCCTGTCCCCTTATATGGGCCCATATCAAACCAATAGATCCAAAATTGAAGCAGGGCTTCGTCTGGGAGGTATCTACTTATTTTGTTGGGGAAAAGAATTTTTTGCGCAATATGAATTATATATATATACAGTCAAACTTTACTACCCTCCGATCAAACATTGCAACGGAAAATGCACTACAAATGAAGGTTTTAATCGGCAAATTCTCTATAAATGTGGGATTTTCCATTGCTACGTTTGACTACCAGAGGGTACGTTCACCATATTCACCAAGTTCTACCCCCAACAAAAGCCCCAAAACTCCGAAACAAACCGCGGAACGGAAGCCCGATGTCTGCGATGGTGACCTTAATTTTGGACGACAGCACGGCGAAAGAGTTTGGCAGGACGGCACTTGCCGTGATGGATGGAAGGGGTCTTTCTGACCCCATATGACTGGGGTATATCTGCCTATTCTGTGCATATATATATACACATGTATTATACATATATATATATATACATATAATTATATATTTATTTAAATAATTATATATACATATATTATATATATACATACTATGAAACACTAAGAGTGGTTACAACCTGTTACAATGATCCTGATGTATTTAAACGAGTTAAGCATCCCTGTAGATTGTGGAAAACTGGATTCAATGCTGTCTAGCCTGGAGTGTGTTAACCCCTCTGGGATGTTTCATTTGGGGGCACCATTTTTGGCGAGGTAACCCCCTGAATCAACCTTGGGGAGATCCCACCAATCTAACATCATCTAACTGGGTTGCTTCATGTTGGCTACTTAGTAAGTGTGATGCACATTCAAGTGAATTATCTGACGTACTTCAAACTCCAGCTACTTATGGTTGTTTGAAGCCACTTTTGAGTGCCTTAATTGATCTTAATTTCAATATAGCATTAGAATTTTCACAAGTCAAATGGTCGATCCCTCCCCAAAAACCACCAAACATCACCCAAAAATAAGATAAAATAAGCAATTCCATCAACTTTTGCCAGGCTTTCTGCAGCTTTTTGTTTCGTTCTTTGGGAAGGGATTGGATTTCATATCAGCACAGAGGAATGGGCGTGGGAATCCGACAAATCCCTGTTTCTGTGAAGTATTTTGTTAAAATAGATGTGCATGTGTATATATATATTATATATATTATATATTATATATATTATATATATTATATATATTATATATTATATATATTATATATATTATATATATTATATATATTATATATATAGTTGTATAATGTTGTTTGTACACCCCGGCAGGAAAAATGAAGAGACCAAACCATATTGGGATGTCTTATCTGGAGCCATTTTCTTTTGGATATAAGGGCCAGAAATTCAACTTAAAACCCACACATGGCACTGGCACATGCAACTGCTGAAAGCCAGCTTGTGCAAGCACCTTTGGGATTCCATCTGGGATTTGTCCATGGGTCAAAATACTTGCCCCCCTAAATCTGGATGGTTTGATCTGGGAAAATGTGCAACAATTCCCAAATCATTGCCATAGATGGTTCCGATATGTTCCGATGATGGTTCCCAAATTCGTAGCAGTTCCTCAAATTACACCCATAGAAGGGGATGGATTTCTCCAAGCGGAACCATCTATGGCGAGGTCGGGGACGACATCCTTGCCTTGGGCTGTCAGTGCATCATCGCCAGGATATAACACATTAAACATGACAATTATAAGTCAATCTCCAGCTAATTAGGGCGATGCCTTAGATTAGACAAGCTATATAATTATATATATATAGTAACCCATAGGATCCATGGTGCTGGTATATATGGTAACATGGATCCCATCAATATACCCCCTTTATGTTAGTATATATACCAGCACCATGGATCCTATGGGTAATATAGTATATAGTAATATAAATAAATAATCTACCAGGGTCACCTTGAACTTCCCCGCTCACTGAGCCAGGCACCACGGAGCCAGGGATCTGAGCTGGTTGCCTCGATGGCCAGAGACTTGAAGGCCATGGGGCAGGGACACATCCAGAGGAAACTAGGGCATTCCGGTGAAAACCATGGGGGTTTCCGGTCTCATTTTTCCCAGGAAACTTATTAAAACATTGGATTTTAAGCGCAGGATCTGGAATATCACCAAAGAAATCACCGAATATAGCTCAAACAACAAACATGGCTGTATCAGTTAAGTTTGATCTGGCTGACATTTGCGTGGTTGAGTCACCCATAACTTGCTAGCGGCAAGTGGCCAATTTTAGGTGTGGAACTTCGTCAACTGCTGGGATTCAGCCAAACGTGTTCGGTTCAAATATTCGGATCCGATACTGAAGAAAAAAAGATCCCAACCATCCATGCATCTATCTACAAATCTGTTTCTTTCTATCTCTTGGAGTCTTTTGGATGAATGATATGATGTCAATTTCGAAACATCCAAAATAGACATCATTAGTCTACAATACATGATATGTATATATATATAAACTAGTATGATATCATGATATATCAATATATCAATTACATCAATATATCAATATATCCAATGTATATTTCAATATATCATTGATATCTTCAATAAATTGTATCAATTGATAATTGGCATATAGATTGATAATTGGCATATAGATTGATAATTGGCATACATATATATATATATGTCATATTCGTCTACTATATATTAGCATCTATATACCAATTATTTGTCTTATTACTAATGGTATATACTATAGTCTTATAGCATCTTATAGCATCTATATTATGTCTTAATGGTAATATACCAATTATTTGATTACCATACTAATGATATCCGTTAGTCTCCAGGAAAGAACAACGGAACTGGCCCGGATCTACCGAGTCGCTGCACGGCCTCGGGTCTGCCTGGAGCCAGGCTCGGGGAAAGGTTCCGTAGACGTAGACGTTTCATGTACGCAAAAGTACACGCACATGTATGTGATTTTATGTGTGTATATATATATATTATATCTATATAATTCTCTATCTATATATATAATTATATATATGATTGTATATATATATATGTGTGTCATTATGTGTCTTATTGTTCCTGGTTAGTGGTTCTGGGAATCATTCATCATCATTGGTCAACATCAATCACCAACAAGTATCATCAATTTTGGTTCATTGTGATCAATTATCATCTGGTTGGTGGTTAAGCCACCCCTCTGAAAAATATGAGTTCGTCAGTTGGGATCATGACATTCCCAAGTGAATGGAAAGTCATAAAATTCATGTTCCATACATTTCCATACCACCAACCAGTCAATGAATCATTATACAGTTTCACTTTGTGGACCTAGGGGTAGTGGCATCTGGCTGGTGGATCACATGGAGACCCCCGTGGCGAACCCACGTGGCTGGGATTTACCGGCACATGCCACAAGTCACGACCATTTTTTGGCTTCACAAAAGGGCGATGTTCAAGTGAATTGACCATTTTCTGGAAATCAGTTAGCTTGAGTTAAATCAGCTGAATCCCTGATTTCTTGTTGCTCATGGATCGTTTCACCCAGCTCAACTGAGCAATTATTTCTTATTTATGAGTAGGCAAATCATCTCAAAAAGCAAATTTTGATGCAGGAATCACTGAAATCAACTCAGATCCACCATGTTTGATGGATAAATCACCCTTTGGTGTTGGTTGTAAATCATTTCAACCAGCTCAAATCATCTATTAACCCTCCATGTTTTTATTTCCATCATTTTTCAGTCAGTTCGGTTCTGACCACCTGGCTCGGAGCCAATTGAGGTAGGGTCGGACGTCCCTTTTTTGAGAGCAATACGTCCATCATTTTTTCAGCTCATATTCTGCAAAACTTCAGCATTTAGAAATCTGTGTTTCATGCTTTCCACACCTGGTGAAATACCTGGTTCATCAACGTAGCCTAGAGAATCACCATCTTGGTAAATCCATGTAAATCGAAGTCAATGGGCCAACACCATAGCTCTAAAAAATAGAGGCTAAATGGGATCTTGCCATGGGATTTTAAGCCATCCATTGGGATATCTTCAAAAAACCTTTCCATTACCTGGTAAACATACCAAAAAAAACGATGGAACATCACCATTTTAGAGCTGGCTAAATCAACTAATTATAGATGACTCAGACTGTCAGATGACCATGTTCAATAGCAAACTGTAACAAATTACCAGAGGCTACTTCGGTGATCCCCCATGACTTCCGCCATTTTTCGCACCTTGGCTGTGTTGGATCTCCTCCCTGGGCGAGTCGCGCTTGCTGCGCCGTCGCGGGGCCGGCCGATGGCCTTGGGAGACCCCAGCGCTGCGCAGGGGTGACCCTTGGGTGACCCTTGGGGAATTTCGCAGAGATACAGTAGCGGTTTTCCATGTTATATGGTAGATATGGTAGATGACCATTTTCATCCATTTTCCATGTTAGAGACGTTTTTATATTCATGGTGACTCATCCATATTATGGTAGAGATGGCCCATTTATGAGTTTACCTATTTTTACCTAATAAAGTTTGGGCGGTTTTCCATGTTAGATGACCTCTGAGGGAAATTGATCAACAATTGCGACACGATGGCAAGTTTTGGTGCATCTGGGAAAAATAAAAAAATGGGAGCAGATTAAAAAGATTGAAAACAATAACTGAATATGATTGGAACGTGTGTTAAAAAAGGGAAACAAAATGAAACACATGGAAAAGTATGGATAAATTCACGGAATAATTTTAGGACAATGATGGGAGAATCATAGATCAAGTCATGGGAAATTGTGCCAATTCTGATGTTCCCCCAGAGTAGTGAAAGTGTCTATAGCAGAACTCCCAAACTTACATCCCAGCTGGGTTTAACTGAAATAAGATACAAAAATTATATGTCGTTTAAACATTGCCATTTGAGGTGCATATACATATATATATATATCTGTATGTATATATATATATATATAAATACTCAATTTTCAAACACGCCCATCTCTGAACCAAATACTGCCTATGTCGTGCGGCTTTTCAGATTCAACTGACTCCATGGGACCATTGGACCAGCGTCCTGGAGCCAATTTAACCATCCAAGCCCTGGTCAGCTTTAGACATCCCAGCAACATATTCAAGTACTAATTAATTATTAACTCAGACTTTGATGGGTCATCATCAAATTTTCATTGCTTAAATCCTTTTCAAATCCTTTTCTGTCTTGTTGCTTTATCATTCTCTTGTATATATAATCTTCCTGGAATCCTGGAGTAGGTAGAATATGGATGAATATGGACTATTTCAAAAATCCCCACATATTTATCATGGAATATCTTTAAACATGGTCCATATTTATCATGGTCCATATTTTACCTACAGGGTGGTTCTATATCCTCAATGGGAATTCCAGGATCCTAAAATGGAGGTACTGTACCATATAAGGCCATATTTTGCTGGGATATTCCCTTACATAGGCCTGAAAAATAGGCCAAAAATATATGGTAGGTACCTTCAATTTAGGTTCCTGAAATGGCCATTGATTCTATATCCTTATGTTCCCATGAAATCTCTAGATGTTCTCCGTCGATCCACGGCTCGGTGTGGCTGGAGCTTCAGTGGTCGGCTCTTTGAAGGGCCTCAACTTTTCGGATCTCAGAAGCAATCCGGGTAAAAATGGTAACCCCACAAGACATGAAACAACGAGCTTTAAGGTATCACTGATATCACATGATATCACTAGTTTATCTATGATTTTATCTATTTTTAGATTTAGATTGTGCTTACCGATCTTTTTTGGGGAGAGCATCCCATGGCTGAAACGAAACGCGCGGATAGCCGCGGAGAAGGGTCCGTTGCCCTGAAATGATCTGATCATCTGGATATGCTTAGCATTCTTTAGCAATGAATGTTAATAATGGTTAATGGTTAATGATGGTTCATATATGGTTAATATATGGTTAATGATGGTTAATAATAATACTGGTTGGTGGTATACCTACCCCTCTGAACAATGATGGACTTCGTCAGGTGGGATGATTATTAAATAATTCCCAATATATGGAAAGTAATAGTCCATTCATGCTCCAAACCACCAACCAGAGAATCATACTTATGTCATATAGTTATGACAGTTATGATAGTTATATGATAGTTATCATCTGGATCTTTAGTTATGAACATAACCAGATAATGATGATAATGTTATATAACCATATATAACTATGGTTCTATATCCACTTAAGTAACATTTCACATGTTCAATGGCCATTCCAGGAACCAATTTATTGGAGGTACCGATTCCATATATTTTTGGCCAATTTTCAGGCCTAAATTTCAGGGAATATTCCCAGCAAAGGATCCTGAAATTTCCCATTGACTAAACTGGCAGATAGGGGGTTGGAAGATTAGTTTCCACTAAAAATGGGTGATTTTCAGGGTCAACAAGTTAACTTACCAGAGGGTAACATTTCTCATAGAATTGGATGATGGGAAATTTTACAGGAAACCCCATCAAATTTGATGGTAAAAACCATGGTTTCCTGTTAAGATTTTCCCTTAAACCAATCCATTGAACATCAAAATAGCTGGGATTTATGGACGTGAATAACCCACTAAAAATGGTATTTTCATAGGTATTGATCCATAGCCATATATATATATAAGAATAGATACTGTAGATACTGTAAATTTTCCCTTAAACCAATCCATTGATCTATGTTAATTTACCAGAGGGTAACATTTCACATGTGGATGAAACTTGACTTCAATCACCAACAGCTCTGAAGAGCTCCCGCTCCCATCATCCGGGGAGTCCAACGAGGCGGACAGCCACAAGTCTTGGTCGTCGCCGTCGCTATCGTCGTCGCGGACATCGCACCAATTCTGATCGTAACGGGGCAGGATGATCATCCTACATAGCTGGTTGGAAAAGCATAGGAAAACCATAGGAAAACCATAGGAAAATGGGAAAATCATAGGAAAACCATAGGAAAATGGAGGTTTACCCTCTGGTAAACATACAAAAAAACTATGGAAAATCACCATTTTTCACAGGCAAATCAACTATTTCTATTATTTTCTATTGGCAATTTTCAATAGCTACGTTAAATTACCAGAGGGCATCATGTATCATACCATGTTCAAGGTATTTTTCTATCATTTTCTATGAAATGAACATGGTATCATCAAACATGGCTGGGAAATTTCGGACCAACTAATTACAGAAATTGTTTCAATGGGACGATCATGAAACTAAATGGTGGATTGCCCATTGCCATGTTGCATGGAACATGATCCAACATACCCGCAACATACCTGGTTCAGTTGGCATCACGAAAATAACAGAGGATAATGTCAAAAAAACATGATCACCTTTCAATTCCAGGTGTTGCTGATGCAAAGAGACCGATTATTTTCCTGTCCCGATGATTTTCCGAGGATGAATCCGGATGTTCGAAACGATTCCATGCCCGTTGGATGGTTTCGAAACGTTCCCCACCGAGATCATCGGGATTTTAAGAAAGGCCTCGCGCTTGGGATTCGCAAACGCCTGACGGTGTTGCTGAGGGGGGCAGAAAAATTGCACATATAAATACACACACATAATCACACACACACACATATATATACATATAAATAGAATAAACATCAATAAACAATATGTATATATATATATATGTATACATTATATATATATATATAAATACACACACTTACAGAATACTCTCTCTCTCTCTCCCCATTGGCCATCCCGGAGGGTCAGCATCACTTACAGTATACAGTACTCGTTGGCAATCTTTTTTGAGGTTGCCACATGTTGAATTGATGGTATATTTCATGGTATTTCTCATGGTTTGCCTGACAATAGTGTAGCCCTAAATCCATTGGATTATGATCATGTTCCTCATTAATCCTTTGCCATTTAAAGGGGGATAGACCGTATACCCCATTTTCAGACACACCCAGACGGGGTTTTGGGCATCCGATGGTGTACACAGGCATGAGCCAGGGCCAAAGGCTAACTTGTCATGGCCCCAAAACCATCCGCTGCTGGCAAACACCCCATGGATGGATGGTATTTCATGCTCATTCTAGACATGTCCACCATGTTTATCCATTTTTTTATCAATTTTCCAAGGCAAATCCTTCGCATTTTTAACAACAGTTCTCCGCCTCCAGACATGTGAACTCTTGGGACGTCTTGCTCTGCCGCGACCTTTGTCGGTGGGGGTCATCTCAAGTCAGGTGCAGCTTTGTTCTACCCTCTGGTAATTCAACATAGCTATTGAAAATTGTCATTCATAGTGGATTTACCCACTAAAAATAGTGATTTTTAACAGCTATGTTAGTTTACCAGAGGGTAATGATTCAATTGTGAACTTTCACCAGTTGTCATATGTTGTGAGTTGGTTCCAGTGGTCATAAGGAATCCAGGAATTCGAGGAAGAGCCAGCTACTTGTGGCACTGTGAGGCCGTCCAACCAAAAATCACGATGTGAAGCTGGTGTGACATCCATGTTTCATCACGTATTCCTATATATATAATGACTTCTATTCAATGGCCATTATTAGATCATGATATTCTCTCTCTCTCTCTCTCCCTCCAGATCATAATGTTTGGTCATCATATTAAATCAAATCAAATCATATTATTTAAATATATGTGATGATGATGGATGCTGGTGGTTGATGATATAAACTCAGGTCCAATCCGATGTCCATCGTGAGTGGAGCCATCTGAAAGGCCGTCGGACGGCACCTGGGAACAATGGTCATTTCATGGGTTTAGCATATGATTTCATAGGATTTAATGGGATTGAACACATGTTCAAAGAGGACTCAATGAGATTTAACATGATTATATATATATTATATGGTTTGAATTGACGGGATATGATTTGGTAGGATTTAATATGAATCAATATTGTTTGAGCTGATTTAATAGGATTTAATACGGTTTTAAAAGTCATTTCATTGGTACTTTAATGATGCATTGCCATGGGGTTTATCATGATGTACTATCAAACAAAGGGATTGACCATTGAATGGGGGTCTTACCCTCGAATAGTAATAGGATTTCATCAATGGGTTTAATAGTGACTCAATTTTTCCTTTATTATATGTTAATGGCTACCCTCCAGCCAGCTCTCCTTCGATGCTTTTCCCAACTAGAAGCTTCCATTTAGTTCGCAGATTTCCCAGCCATGTTTGATTACCGAAGGGTAAATCCAGTAAGAAAAGCAAAGAGTAGCTGAAATAGCTGAAATGTTTAGATGGGTTTCTGGGGTTTAAACATTCCCACAGGATATGCTTGTTCAATCCTGTTTATGCAGGAATGACGCCCACATGGCAAAAACTGCGTGCTCGGTTTCCTGTTGGGTTTAGCACATGTCGCTTTTCTTTAAGGCCGAGAGCCAGCCTCCAGCTGCTGTACACAGCCAAGCATTAATTATGTGGCTTTGCACCCAAAAAAGTAGCCCTAAACTCCTAAATCCACTTGTTCATCATATTTTTTCCTCTTAAATGGCCATAACTTGGGGGTAACACCAATTTTCACACCATGCATTGCACCGAGCGGAAATCCATGGGAATTCTCTGTCCGGAGTCCTGCCTTCGCAACTGAACTTCTTCTTGACTGCCTCACACCGAACTTAGGCACATCGATAGAGCCACGATAAACCTCTCCTTTGTAGTGCCCTCTGGAAAAGTACCCGTATACCCTCCGGCAACGCGGCAATAAACAATGCCCCATTTGTAGATGATTTTCCCGTAAATCATCTAAAACATCCATTTATAGGGTTTTTTCCATTGCCATGATTGATTAGCGAAAGGTAGTTCGATGATTTTCTCATGCCCGTGGAATTCCCAGCCAGCCATGGTTTATCATTGGATTTGCTTGGCTTTACCACGTTGACTATTGTTAACTTGGTATCCGCCTCAGCCAAAAATGCTGTAAAACTATGGGCATTCAATCAAACTCTGGGAAGGTTGACATTCTTGCGACTGATTGAATTTGTGGGTGTGTTCGGAAAATTGCTTCCTGGTTCTGGTTCCAACAAAACAGAAAATTACCCTCTGGTTATTTAACATAGCCATGGTATAGATGGCCTATAGAAATAGATGGTTTACCTATTAAAAATGGTGGATCTTTCCATGGCAAACTGTTAGTCATAACCAGATGGTACTTGGACAGCAGTGAAGCCATCATTGGCAGCGGTTCCAATCCCAAGACTATTTTCAAGCCGGGATCATCCTCAGTGACAAGGTGGAACTCCCCCAGTTCTAAGTTGATGCAGCTATATCTACCAGACACGTCCATAAACCATATCCTTAGCTGCGCCTTACACAGCAACTATAGTTAGCCTACTTACCACAAACATCCATTGTGTATATATATATATATATAGTTAATCATATTGCTTATCCCACCATAACCATATGGCTGCTTCCTGAAATTGGGGTTTCGCAAGTCACCATGGGTTTCAATACTAAGTCATGGTTCAACGGCTTGGTGAGGAAACCCCAAGGGAAACTGATGATTAGCCATGGCATTTTGGGGTATCCTATCATGACCTAATATAGCTATTGAACCAACTATAATCTATCACCAACTATTGAACCATGGAGTTTTTCATAATTGGTAATTATAATAGTTGGATATATATAGTTGGTATATAACATAACCCCAACTATTGAACCATATATAACATAGCTATCCTTGGGGGGCTCCCACCTTCCAAAAAACGAAGGCACCCCGATGGCCTGCCATCGTCGGCATGACTCACCATGGCCTCGGCTTGGGGATTTCACCCCCTAGCGCCATGAGATTGAACTAGAATGTGTATAGGGAATTTTCGGGTGATTTTCGGATGGTTCTAGGGAATTTTAGGGAATTTATAGATAGATAGATGGATAGATAAATATAAAACTGTAGGGTTGATGATTTTTATATGTAATTAATATATATATATATATATATGTATATTCAAATATAAACTAATATTGTATAAAAATATATATAGGATTTTAACGGTGCATCTAACTTTACATGGGATTCCAATGAGATTACAAAACCATTAAACCAACTATACTTAAACTAACCTTTGTGCGCAAAAATGGATATCGGATATCTAATATAATACCATGAAATACCATGTTATTATATATACTTTAATGGGTATTTTAATTGATACTAACTTGATATAGATTATGATGGAATATCTAGCCAACACTTGAGATTATAGTTGGGTTTGTCTGAACATGTTGTCACTACTTATTGCACCGTAACCGAACTATCATGTTTTTAATGGGAACATTATTGTTACCCTCTGGTAATTTAACATAACTATGGAAAATCACCATTTATAGTTAATTTTCCAATTAAAAATGGTGATTTTCCATAGTTATGTTAGTTTACCAGAGGGTAACCTGGTTCAACAAGTAGGTTGTTCGAATATGGGGGCACCCCCCAAATCCCAATGGCTTATAATCAGGCTCCCGTATGTTCCATATTGTTCCATACATTTTAGTGGCCCACGATTTTAAGGCACGTCACTCCAGAGCCAAACATATGACCAAATGGTAGCATCCTTGTCTGTTTAGGGCGTGTACAACCGAGGCACTGAGGCACTGACACCTTAGTTTTTTCGGCTTAAAAAGTTAGGCCATAGTTTGCCAGATTGGGGGGGCGCTTTGTTGTTTATCTTCACATCTAGCTCATGTCTTGCACTTCAAGTTTTTCCTTTACATCTTGCTTCCAATGGGCATCCCCCTGTTGTGATGCCCCCTGGACTTTCACAATTTCAAATTTCCAAGAGCATACAGAGTGGCTCTTGATGCCACTTACATCCAATTACCAGCTCTTAGCATGTTCGTTCGGTACGGTTGGGCGTTCGGAACGCGCGTTTTAAAAACTCGCGTTCCAGAACGCGCGTTCTGAGTGAATCCTTGTTTTCCAATGATATAAAGTTAACTTATTTCCTGGGCCTGGACACTGAAACCTTTTTCTCCCCAAATAAAAAAGGATTTTGAGAGCTCTTATGGGCTCAAAATGGTGTATGAAGCCACCAGAAAGTTGATCTTCCCAACTCCGGATCCTTTGTTGGGTGAAGCAAAAAAGGTTCTGGCCTCACCAGGCTTGTGGGGCAAGTTAGCTTTCCTTCCCGGATCCTTTTTTTCTCTGAAAGGAAAAGGTTCTGACCTCTCACAAATTTTATCGTAGTGCTAATGACAGAGGCCTAAGAAGACTTTGAAACATTGTTGAACAATTCTATGTGACACAGCGGATCCTTTTTGCAAGGAGCAAAAAAAGGATTGGGAGGCTTTTGGGATCCATAAAACCACTAAAACCCCGGCTGCGTTCGGAACGCGCGTTCCAGAAGGTACGTTTTGCGTTCTGCGTTTTGGTCGTGGTCCCAACTCATAGCCGCAGGGTCGACTTGGAGGGGCCCCTTAGATGGCACTGCAACCAAGCTGCCTCCACTGACGAAGTCTGTTGAAGGCTGACCCAGCAGTCTTGAGCCAAATCTTTCAGCCAGCTCGACGGGCTCGACGGAACTCAAACCTCTCCACCAGTTCAGGTAGAGTAGATTCTACGAATATAGTAGTGGATATGGCATATGCATATGTCCCCCTGCTGCAGATGATATTCGCCATAGTGCCCAGGGACAAGCTGCCAGGGTTTTGAATAATCTAATTCCAACTCTATGTGACCTTCAATCTAAATGTCACAGCGTGTATCCTCAATCTTTGAATTGCATCTCTTTTTGGGACGAGCACCCCATATACTTGACTCAATTGCTATGTGCTACACGTTTGTTGCTGACTCCACCCAGTGTGCTGCTCTAAATATCATGTTTGTTGCTTTTTGAAGCCCCCAAGCACCTAGCAAAGCGAGTTGTTGTTCTTGATGTAATTGACATGTCTCTCTGTTTTTTGGGGAGATCTGCAAAGAACACCCATGTTGCCAACGGCACCCGGTTCCCGGTCCTGTTGACGTCCTGGCGATCGGGCCAACGTGAAGATGATGAGCACAATTGAATTGTACTTAAGAAATACCCATTGATACCCTAAATTCCTTTAAATATTGCAACCCTCTGACTGTGTGCAACTTCCAAAGTCTCAAGGGTAGCTACAAATGTCGCAAGCGTTAAAGGAATTGGAACTATGCGGTGCAAAACGGTTCGGTGGTGGCAGGGAAGAAGGAAACGGGATTTGAAAAACAACGTAATAAGTAAAAGTATGGAAAGGGCATAATACACAAACTGGTCAACAGAAATCAATTCAACAATGAGACAATGTCCAAATTCTATCATGAATTGTTTTGAGGCCAACAAAAACCATCAAAACAGTCCTTCCAGCTCCATTGGGCACCCTGATAAGCAACCCATCAGAAATTATTGGCTACAACCTGTTGAGAAAAAGCGTTCATATACCTCGTGATTGTCAGTAACAGTTTGCGTTTTTTTTGTGCATCAACCGACCAGAAAACAACATTAATGTCAACCCTTGATTCATTAATCAATCCCTAGGCTGTTTAATTGGGGGAGGGGGTACCATTTATATAATTATCAGATTATCGCTATTTGGGGAGCACCCCCTAATTAATAAACCACAGCCTGCGAAATGCTTGCAGTCCATTTTCCTCTGCGCTTCTTATCGGCAGCAGATTTTGCGAGTTTTGGCTGTGGGCCCCCGCAAGATTTCCTTTACGGGGCAAGGTTCAAAGGGGAACATCTGGCCAAACAAGTTGAGCTTGACAGCTGTGAAATACGATTTCTATGTTGGGTGATTTTCATGTTATTTTTTCGCGTGACGCCAAAAATAAAGACGGGACAGCAAACCGACCCTCTGGCAATTAAACAGTTTGCTATGGATAATCACCATCTTTAACAGGCAAAACATCAAACTAAATGGGCAATTTGCCATAGCAAAGTGTGAAATTAATTACTAATTAGAGGGTATACACAAACAAAACATTGCTAAGCACATATTGGTGACATATATCCACGATGAGTGGCATTGCTGTGGTATTGAAGGGTTCTCTACCCAACTGTCCCAAGTCAAGAGAGGCTTAGACATGAAGTTTACATGAGATATCTGAGTCCGGCTGTGTCATGAATGATATATATATATATTAAAGAACACATATACATCTATTCTGCATATGCATTATATGCATACACACACAAACATAAACATACACACACACACACCTATATGTATATACTGTATATATATATACATACATATATACATACACATACACATACACATACACATATACATAGTGTGTATATATATACTATATATTATATGAATGGAATTAGACACACCATGACACAACAGGTCTTTCTGGCCAGTTGTCCAAAATTACCAGTGGCGGGTTTTTTGGGGCCAATCCTCCACAGCGAAACATCTACTGTCTCAGCGGCCCGCGCCACGCCCAAAAACGTTCGGCTGCTGTTGGCGGTTCGACTCTGATGTTGCGGTGACTTCGTTCATCAACGTAGCTGACATAGATTTACCCGCTGGCTATTCAACATAAACATGGAAAGATCCACCATTTTTAAGAACGGTAAACCATCTATTTCTATGGGCCATCTATACCATGGCTATGTTAGTCATAACCAGATGGCATCCTGAAAACATCTGAAAACAATGGGGCTACCCATTGTTAAGCCGCCATGAAGAAAGGGTGAATTTATGACGTCTCGAGAGTCTCGATCCATCGGGGTTGGGGTGTATACAGAGCATTTTTCAGGCTATTTAAAGGTAGACCTCATTTTCAGCAAAATCCACACGGCTACTCTGAGAAACATTGCAAACAAGGTATAAGAAACCGAGCTCCACATTCAATCCTCAAATAGCCATTCAATAGCTGGATCGACCACGAGTTTGTTATATGATTTTACCATATTTTGCCATCCATAGGGGTGTCATGATGTTTCTGATGCTATGGGTTTGACATAGTCTTGCCATTTGAATATTAAAATTAGAAGGTTCCTGTAAAATTTACCTTCAACCTGTGCCCTGATAACTGGTCATAGGGTGCTAGTGCGTGCTAATACAAGCCCTTTTGGGAATATTAAGGGGTCTCACTCCCGAGCTCAAAATCCATGAGCCTGGGTCAGTACATAGGCCACGTGTTGCATGCAATGTGTGGTTGCAAAACGGTGCCAAAGAAGTGGGCAGTGCACTTTCCCATGACGGATCCATGGTGCTGGTATATATGCTAACATTGGGGGTATATGGCTATGAGTCAAAACCTTGTACCCCTTTTTTGTTCACATCAAGTCATAGCTGGGATTTATGGATGTTCATCCCACTAAAAATGGTATTTTCATGTATTTTCATAGGTATTGATCCATCCCCGTATGGATGGGATCCATGTTGCCATATATAGCAGCACCATGGATCCTATGGTTCCCCTCAAGTCACATCCCTCTGAATTTTGTGATCCTCGACTCCGGGAGTCAAACAAGCCAGGAACATGCACAACTTTTCCCGAGCACCACAAACCAAAAATGATATTTGCTGAGATTGCGGTGGATTCATGTTTTTGAGGTAAATGATGTTAAGTTCCAAGTTATCCTTGTACTATGATTATTGGCCATTGGCAAATCACATCACACAGTCGAAACCAACAAATTCTCTCATTGGTCGACATTTTTACACATCCCGCTCGCGACCCCTGTTTTTTGGGAAGCCCCTTTGACAAGGGCACGGCATCATTTCCACATTCTCCATCTTGGTACAGGTGGGATGTTGAAGGTTCCAGTCTCAGAGG